ATTTTCGCGTCCCATTACCTAAAAAAAGTCTGTAGATTCATAAGATTTGGTTATTCAAAAATAAGCATCACATTAATAGATGCATGTGTTAAAAATAGGTGAACCACAAATTGGAACACGTGTCAAACGAGAAGCGGAAGGTGCGAAGAAAGATGAAGACAAGACGACTATAAAATCCACTGTAACGACTCCAAGTACTACATCTACAGAAGCCACTGTAACGACCCCAAGTACTACATCTACAGAATCCACTGTAACGACCCCAAGTACTACATCTACAGAACCAATCACAACAACGTCAACCGAAAAACCGCCAACACCTGATTCAACAGGAATATCTGCATGGATCATTATTTTAATAATCATAATGGTAGCTGCAGTAGGGTATTTAATTTTCGAAATGGTAAAATTATTTGTCGAATATAGATATCAAGCACGTATTAACCTCCTTAATCAATATGGAACAGTAGGAGATGAAGAAGCTGGCATGTAAAGCGTGTTGCACATACTACTTTTTACTGCACATTACATACTTATCATGTTATTTGAATAAAATAAGTTATGCTTAATATATATATATTGTCACGGACGTGGCTTGGTTCAGTCAATGTCGTTTCGTGACGATATATAATAGTAATTTTTTTAAGACGGGCGTAGCATGTAGCCTAAGTTGACTTAAAAAGCAAACGATTAAGTAAGGAAATTATTTTATAAAATCACGATGCGCGTATATTTTGAATTATCAGATGAATGGCATTTTTCAATTATTTTCATATAATAGTCTTAACTTTAAAAATGTTTTAATTCTAGCCTTGTACGTTTCATAAGGTATACACAATGTTAATTGTCAACTTGATCACTGTTTTTAATAAATTTTGAATAAACCCAGACAAAAATAATAATTTCACGAAAAAGTATACGACATTAATTCATGGCGGTGATAAAGCTCATCTTGTCATCAGATATTACTATATAAAAAGAGAATGTAAAGAATTGTCAAGTATTTAATTTGTTTCACAATTTAACGATAAATTACTCAAAGAAAGAGCTGTCAGATTTCATATACAACTAATTTTTTGACAAGTGAGATCGAGGAAAACGAATCTTAAAAAACAATACACATTTAATTTATTAATCGAGTAAAAACTTGCGGAGGAAAAAAAAAACAACATATTTTCTGAAAAGAATTTAACCCCAATGTTACTATGCAGTCTCTTTTGTATATTAATGATGAATTAAGGCTCGTTTTTTTCTTCTACTTTTATTCTGCGTACTGTTTATACGTTTTGTTTTATTAATTAAATAAACATTGAAATTTCATACATTAAAACGTCCAATAAATTCTACACCCACTTATAGACCACACATCCTGTAATCGATGCATCTTTCAAAACCAATGCACGAATTGTGAAGTTTCATGCGAGTTGCATAAAACAATCTTCGCAACATAAAATGCAAAAAGGTACTCTTGACGCAACAACGGAGCATACCCCAAGCAAATAAAGACGAGAGAAATGAGAGTTAAAGCGTACAAGACAAGAGGGACACATAAGAGCCGGGGCGCGGTGTGGCGTGGAAATGGCACATCGTATGCGGTGTATTGCATCGCCGGGCCAGCTCTCTCGGCTCGAATAAAAACGGAGCCCGGCATATTTCAAACTTATTGCCCAACTGTGTATGTGTGTGTGTGTACGCGCCGCACTTTTATCGTGCCCAGTTTCATTCTTTTCCGGTTTATGTGGCATTACACGCATTTTCGACGTCAGCCCTAAACGCCCCACACACCGCCCACCACTTTTCTTTTTTCTGGAATTGCCAGACACGCCGGCTGAATTTATATTTCATACATATAAAAGCCTACCACCCCCAACTTACAGCTTACTCTCCCTTCCATGATGCTTCCCGGATTGTTTCTAAAGACGTGGGCTCGAGTGTGTGTGGAGGCTCGAAAGATTTCCTGAGCTCAAACGCGGCACATAAATATCAATCATCACGAAAATTTACATGCTTGCCAGAAGGATACTGGTCAATTGATTTCTTTGAGTATGTGCTTTGTAAAGTGACGGGGTGCCAGAAACCAAATGTATGCTTTTCCGAGAATCCTGTATTGCAATCTCCAAAGTATCGCGGTCCATTGTCGGTCGTCTCGAAAAGAAACTGTGCGCTTGAGAGGGATCCCTTTCTCCGTAAAAGGGAGCTGAAATCCGAGAATAATCGCGCGAGTGTCATTGCGAGGACAATACGACCTCTCGAATGACGCGCGTGTACTCGTATACCCTCGACGTTCGTGAAATCGTGTCTTCGCGCGAAAGCTCTCGCTGACAACTCCAGAGCATCGGTGACACGAGCTCGGGGTGTCTTTTCCTCCCTCGCCTTTCTTGGGAGCTCTTTTTTTTCTTCGGGTGAAAATAAGAAAGAAGAAGAAAAAAAGATACAAGGAGATAAAAGTATACGATCTGTTAAACTTTGCGGTCGCGGTATTACGAGGACGAATGGGACTGCGTTTCCTTCCCTCTCTTTCTTTCTTTCCTTCTCTTTTTCGCGGAGGGTACACTGGACGTATAATGCATTTTTATTTTATTTTTTTCCCTCTCCGGGCAAACCGTTTTAGCTCGCAAATGTCCTTATAAAAGTAAGTAAAGCGGTTGTTACGCCGCTTAAAATATACAGGTACCTACCACGGTACCGTTATTTTTTTTTGCTTTCCGTTGTAGGTAAGTACAAATACTCGACTATATAAGTTCAAAGAACAAACCAAGTTACTTTTCGCGGAAAAACGATAAGCGTGACGAGCAAAAACGATTTTAAGCGTTCAGTTGAAAAATATACAACTACCGTCTTATCGCGTGATTGTCACATTGTTCGTCATTTGTAAGAGATGAACTTAAAATGTACGTGCTTACGTATGCTTACACTTGATTTTCCCCAGAGACAGATACTTAAGAAAGTCCAGCGTGACGGCACGTGCTGGTAATTTATTTGCGAGAATACATGTTTTCACACGGATTACCGAATATCATTAGACTTTGGGAGCTCGGAAGTTGCGTCTACCTATGTCTTCGCGCGAGTGAAAGTTTTGCAATGCAGTGTAATCAAAAAATATTTGGTTATCGTGGCTTTCTTATGAGACTTACTTTTGACGATTAAACATGTCGCTTTATTGAAATGGTACTTTTCAGCGTATTCCTGACGGTTATTGGACGCAAATAAATTAAATTGAATTGAATTTATTGTTTTAAAGAGCTAAGGGCTACAGCCCTTGATAGCTCGGCATACTACATGATTATTGCTATCAACAGCAGTTGCCGCAGGTAACTGCAAAACACGTATACACATATATCAGTTTGAGAGGATTTAAAATTATGTTATATCGATAAAACTAACAAATAGAACTAACAAATAAAATAACAATATCTAAAGGAGTGATAAATGTGAGAGCAATATATCGTTGATTTGCGTCCCATTATAAAAATATCGTTGATTTGCGTCCCATTTGCATTCTTTTACTCGCTCTGAGAAAGAGAAGAAGAAGAAGAATAGTTGACGGTGAAACGTCAGGAGAGGCATTCGGTGGTCCTCCACGTTTGAAGCAACTACGGGGGAAAATGACCTCCTCAATCAATCGCGGCAACCTCTCTATCGTCCCCCATTCGTCTTTCCCACCTTCAAAATCCACCCCTCGATTCTCTCCTCCTCCGAGGTTTCTCTGTTTGAGCCCTGCCTTCTTTCTCTGTAACAAGCCGCGACTTCTCCGATAAATCTCACTCGCCCAGGGGGGAGAAAAAGGAGCCCAACCTGCCCCTAATGAGAAACGCACGAGAGGAACAGCCCATTACGGTCGCCTTCCATCTTCGGCTCTTTCTCTCCTCTCCGATAAATTATGTGGTTGCCATACCGCGGCCAAGAGGGCAGGGGTGGAAAGAGCAAACGAAATCGAAAATTATTATTTTCACTGCAACAGAGGTACACTTTTATTTTTTATGTGTATTCCGCGAAATCAGCTCGGTACGCGTATACGTCCTCTGCGAAAATGTGATTTTCCAATCGATGGAAAAAAGAAAATTGAAAAAGTAGGAAAAAGAAGGGGATTCGCGAGACACTTCTTACACGACGATGAGAAAAACAGGGCCGAAGGAGAGACGAGGAGGACAACGAAATAGCGCGGGTTGTATATATGTCCGCGGTGCGCAAACAAAGCGATAAATCTCGGTCGCGATCGGCGCTCGCGGAGATCCTCCCCCCGCTCTCATGGCTTTGCTGCCGTATACCCAGTGGTCATCCGTCACTCTCTTTTCCCTCCCTCCCTTCCCCTTTTCCTCTTCATCTCTCTGCAATGCATGCGCGTAAAAAAAACATGCCGTACAAAGGGAGAAATCTGGCGTACGCCCCACTTGCATCGCACTTTTGATCTCGGGTGGATGGGGCTGTGGGGGGAGGGAATCAATCGTCGTGTTCCCAAAAACGTAAATTCCCGCGGAATGTATCTTGAGCGGGAAATTTATGTAATCGGAAAAATATTCAAAGTCGGGTGATGGGCCATCATGCGGGGGAGAGCTCGCGTGGGACGTGTTGGCGCGGATCTCTGGAAAATTATTGGGCAATTACCTCGGCCCGCCTCGCATTCCCGAGCAGTGATTCGAGACATTTTTTTTTTTCCTTCCCCCTTCACGTACACTTACGAGGGTGATGTGTATACGTATGGATGGATCGTCGTCGTCGTCGTTCTCGGGTAAAGCGCGGCAGGGGAGAAAAGTATGAGGAATAGCTCGGCGATAAAATCGCCGAAAAGAAATCCGAGGCGTCGTTATTGGACGGGATCCGGAACTCGCGGAGAAATATGAGGTACCCATACGTTTTGGAATCCCTTTTTTTCTCAAGTACCGACATTTTTCTGGATCCCGTCCTTCGCCAACGCGAATCACATGATTTATTCTGGCTGATAGAGTATACCCACCATCGGGAGTAAAAAGACACGCGTACGGGTGAAAAGTGTTTCTTACCTGGAGTGGCGGCACCTAGCCTCAGGACAGCGTCGCCCTGCAACGAGATGGACAGGGTGGCCGTGTCCTCTAGCCTCGCGAGCACCTCCTCGGGTATGTCCTCGGGCTCGCGTAGGCGCAGCGTCACTTCGCCCGTGCCGTTGGTTTGGCCGGTCGCCCCGTTACCTGTGCCCCCGCCCCCGCCGCCCCCGGGACTCGTCGACGCCGAGTACATGAAGACCGAGCCGTAGCCGTGGAGCGACTGCAGGGGCAGCCTGACGCCGCCCACCTCGCCGACTGGGCCCTGAAATGTTACCAGGTTCGTTGTCAAGGACTGTCTGGGGAAAGATGTTTATCAATGATTCTACAACGAATAAACAATCTAAGTACGTTAACTCAAGGAAAGAACAATATTTGTGTGGCCTTAAATGTGTATTTTATTATATTCATTACACATCTGTTCAAATTTTTACTGCAATATGCCAAGTATCATTTTTTATTCGTTCGGTTGCTCGATGTGTTACTTGGCATGACTTGTCCAATTAAAACAAACCTAAGCGTAAAAGCGTGTGTGTACGTTGCAGGTATAGGTGTGCAAAATCGAACCACCGAGGAATCAAGCAAACGGTAGATGCCTTGCCTCGCTTCGCCATACCTATATATACTTGGGTAGCAAAAAAGCGCAGATTTTCCACAGATAAACGAGTCGGTGCTCGTATGTGCCTATGCATACGTTGATACAGCTACTGGCCCGACTTTGTAAATTATACTCCCAGTAGAATAAACGCGGTGCTAATGAAGTATATACAAGTTCCGCGCGTGCACATTCAAGCCGTGTGCCCTTACGATAGCAGGGCAGGTTTTTTTTTTACCACGACTGACTTTCATTTGTTTTTACTCGATTTATTTTCCACGTTATTTGCATCGCAAATACAGTTGCATATCGACGCGCGCGATCCTTATGCTCGAGAAACTGTGAAATGAAGCACGTAATCGATGATTCCTGCTTTTTTTTTTTCGTCCCTGGAATTCGTCGAATTTCGTCTCGTTTCGAAACGCAAAAGTGTGCGCGTGTTTTCGCACGAGATTTTTTCAAATATTCGAATTACGAGCCATGAGCTGTGAAAGAGTTAGAAACGATGAGAGGGTGAAAAAAAAGTATTTGGTTCACGCTGTAATTTTTTTTTTTTTTTTTTTCATACATCATGATTGATTGGAACGTGAAAGGGGAAAAATAAACGCGCTGGAACTGTATTTGCGTTACGAAATTCGAGGATACTCTTCGTTAGTAAAAAAAAAAAAAAAAAAATTTCGATTGAAAAATAGCAAAACCTACATCCATCGTGTACACAGCTGTAATAAACCGTGATCAATTTGGCACGCAGTTTGATTGAGTTTCCCCGTGTGATATTATTTTTTAGAGAAAAAAAGAAAAAAAAAAATTCCAACGCACGCTCACACATGTATTATGCCTGCGAGTCGCCAACTTTGATTGGAGTAAAATCCGCGTCGGGTCCCTCGTTTTCCTCCAATTAAGTAATACGTTCTTCAAGTTAATGGACACGCGGAGTGTTTACAGTGCAATCCTCGCCTATTCGCGAATTTTCGTACAGCGAAAGCCATCTGAAAGCAGTCTCCAACTAATACTTTGCCCTAAAAAGAAAAGAAAAATAAATAAAGTACCAGTTACGAAGCTCGAGGCGTTAAAAAGCCGCAAAAAAAGTCCCACGCTCTTAATCAAAAAGCTCGTCGATAGCCTCATAAATATCCATACCCACTACGGGAAGATAGAAGAAGAGTTGGATGGACCCACCCCCTACACGCGAAAACTCAGTTCTCTATTATTTAGGCAAATTGATTCGCATCGGCGAAAATTTTCTCTCGGCAAAATGAAAGGCAAAACGCCCGCCCTCGTACGTGCACGTTGTGTGTATGTATAACTGAAGAGAGCGCACACGTGTAGCAGGTGGAGCGCTCGCGCGTAATTTATTTTAATGGTCATTTTGGTAATGGTCCTTTGAGCGCGTATACGAACACGCGATGTATGTACACCCGTGGAGGGTCGAATTGCGGTGGAATCGAGCTTTAGGAGCACATACACACACGCAAGCGCGTTTCCAGGCCCTTTTGTACACGGACAAAATGCCCGGAAACGATACACCCACGAACGGTAAATACTACCTGCTGTCGAAATTATTGCCTACCCGCGTTGCTCGCGTTTTTGTCGGATAGCCAGCCCTTGTGTGCACGCGTGAGTGGACGTTAGTTTCGGTTTCCACGTACGGGGAGCCGATAGAAGACGGTAAATTTATGGACCTCATTTCGCATTGAGATGAGAACGCGAGCATCAACGCGCTATTGTACCGAGGGGCAGCCCCGCTTTTTTTCCTTTTTTCTTCTGCGTGCCATTTTTGGGTGCCATTCGCTTTCTCGTTCGAGCCATCGGGCGGGTACATGCACAGGAATTGAGTGGAGGTATTTTTTCGGGATGGCGATGAAAAGCAAAGAGCGATGTTAATTAGAATTGATGCTCGGGCGTTTGATAGTAATCGAAACCGCGCCCTGTCGGTTTTACTCGCACACGAACAATGGGAGTGATTTCCAATCGGGAGATAATTAGGATTCAACGGATGCGTCATTATTACCATTATTATAAAAGGTACAGGCAGCTCTCATTGAAGCGAAAGTGTACCATTGTTCCGCCTTGCGAGAGCTCATCGTGGAGCAACGCAGATTTAATTAGAATTTAATGTAACGGGTGATCAACAGTGCCGTAATAATGAGCCCATCAAACCATGAAACTCTGAACTTTCCATCGATCATACGTGATCAACCCACCATACGACTTGATGTGGAAAAAAAAAAAAAAAAAAAAAAAGAGTAGCGAACCATCATCAATCAAGTATATATACACACGTGCCAGCTTTACAGTGTATCGTTGATTAAACGAGCGACGATAAGGTAAGATGGGACCTCGTCAACAAAACGCCACTCGATTGACGTATATCTGTACACGGTCTATCGCGCACTATCGAATCAAGCGAAACGCCAACATTATTGCACTATTCCTCCGATGGGTGAAAAGAAAAAAGGGCACGAGCTCTCGGCCGAGTGAAAACACAAATTCTCTCTCTAATCCAGCCATCTTTCGATCCATCTTCCCGTGGCCCTAGTCCGCCTCCTCTTCCGTCTATCCTCGTTTTCATTGGCAACTTTGGCGTAAGCAAACAAACACCGTATACGCTTTCCCCTTCGGCAAACAGTGAACGGGAGGAGGAGGACAAGTGTATAGCCGGCTTCCGCGTGCGTAGAACAGGAAGAGGAGAGGACGAGGAAGCTCGAGAGTATTCAAAAGGGGCTTGGGCGCAAAAGCGCTGGCCGGGCAATCGCAAGGAAAATGTTTTCACGACTGCCTCCCTCTCCCCACTTGGCTCTCGGGGCTGGTTCGAGGCAGAAGAAAAATAAGAGACACGGAGAAAGAGAGAGCTTTCCTCGAATCCCGAGCGCATTACGACCCGGTATATTTCCATCTCTCGCTCTCACTTTCTCTCTCGGCTGTTGTTGCTCTGGTCGCTGGTGTATGTATGGTACGGCGCTCATGAGCTTTTTATTTTCTCTCTCTCTCTTTTTTTTTTTTTTTTTTTTTTCCCTCAAGCGAGCAAACGAGGTGTACCTTACATATGAATAAGCACGCGCCCCCCTTGGCTCATAAATTACACAAAGTGGTCGNCGAGAGGCACACGTTGTGATACCCGTAAAAAAACGCACATGTGAGAGTCACGGCGAAACGATCCATTACCATTTCTTTTTTTTTTTTTTTTTTTTTTTTCAAAGTAAATAACGACTCGAGAGCGAGTCAGCGAGCAGGGAATTTTCGCATTAAAATGTGCATCGTAGATTAATGGGATACGGTTATTCCGGGGTAAATAATGGCATTGCTTTTTTTTATTTCACAGAAAAAAAAAAATAAATAAGAGTTCTCTTGCTGTTTGAACAAAAATAAAAACCACCACTAAAGTAATTAAAAAAAATATTTGCATGAAAGACGACAGACTGGACATTTACAGCTTACTGTATTTTAACGTCCTCGTATACTACGACGTGATGTATTGAACTACATAATCCACGAAAGTTGTGGAATGTTCGTTTGCTCTGCTGATTCCTCTATATGCATGAGCTTGTATCCAGGAGGCATTGTTAAATGATGTAGCGAACAAAGTATGAGCAGAGAGTTTTCCAGTGCGGCAATCTTCGGGACAACAAGGCATCGACTCCCCGGTCGCGCGACCAACTTCCCCGTCGAAAACACAAGTTTCGGGGCGAAAGACCGCGACCGAATGACGCATGGGTTATTTTTACGGGACACAATATCTCTCTACTCGCGCTTTCCCTTGAAACATGTTTTTCCGGAATATTTTTCAACGCGTCGGAAGAGGAGGGGAGGGTTTAAGAATAGTTTGTTGAAAAGTGGACGTCCGAAGGACCGGGGCGGAATCATCCCCTCAAGAAGCCGCGACAAACAAGTCCTCCCCCCCCCTTCTTTCGCGTCGAGCAGAAAAACAGCCACCGGGAAGAATCGCGAGTTTTATTCATAAATTTCGCCGCCACGAGGTAGGTTAAAAGTCAGCCGTGGATATCTCTTTTATGGGCTTATTTTCAAAGTGTACAGGTACATGTGACAACCTTTCGGCAATGCCGTACCTCTGGTTGTGCTATACGGGAGGGGAGAAAATTATTTTCCGACGATTTGGCCCTTGATTTGTGCTGTGTTTTGCGAACAAACGTGTTTACGCGAGAGTCGCGTTTTTCAAGAGCGAGGGGATGAAAACATTTCCCACCACCAGAGTCCCCATACTTTCTTTTCGTGCTGCGTAAATTCAATCTTCTTTTCTTTTTCTGCATCTCGAAGCGGAAAAGAGAGGTCTGATGTATTGAGCGCGGGGTGCGAAGGGAGGAAAGCCGGGAAAATATGAAATTTCGCTAAAAGGAGTTGAGGTGACAGGCTCGGGAGAAAGAGAGATGGCTATGGTCGCCCTTTTGCACTACGAGAGACTGTCGAAGGAGTCGTCGCTTGATAACTCGAGTTTCTTGAGATTTTCTCGTACAGATCACTGTGACGCACGTCTCTCCCTCTCCATAGGGACTACTGTTTTTTTACTCGAGCTCATGTTACTGCTGATAAAATGAAAGAAGAAAAAAATCGAGTAATTAACTCCGTTCGATGCTCTCGACGTCACATTTTGTGATCAACGAGTCATTGAGAGGAGTGCTAGGAGAGGCTTAATTAGTGCACGGATGAAATTC